GCAAAGAGAGGGCTTGAGACCCACGTCGACCTCTCTGCGATGGCAAGGAGCAGGTCAGGCAGATGGGTTACTGTCGTTACCCACTGAACAAAATGGCGAACTGCTCCCTTTTACACCCACTGAGCAACATGAGGCTGAGGCAGTAGGTGGGACCATACTGGTTGGTACAGAGGGGGTACTGGGATGACCGGGGGGCGGAGCAGAAGACGGCAGGAGAAGAGAGCGTAGCAGACGTCTCTCGGTCCAGGCTTCAGAAAAAAGTTCAAACATCCCCGGTTCATCGACCTCTGACTAACCACGTCAGGCTATATATCCTCTGACTGAACATTCGATGCGTCACACCTGTGACTCTGTTGGTATTACTACTCGAACGGCGCATGCGTGAAGGGAGCATTCATTGCTTTCAGCACCGCCCTCTGGAGGTCAGGAGGGATGAAACAGAACAGTAGGTGTCCTTCAACCAGCTCTGTGCAACTTCTTCCTTTTAGATTGTGATATTGACTATTATAAATTTCTTGCAAATTATTGACTGAAATGTGTCTGTTCAATGTGGTGTTGAGTCTTTTTGAGTTTTTAGCTGCGGGGCAGTACTCTGGGGCACTTATTTTATGTTAAGTTCAAATACATTAAAACCTCATTTCATTGTTTCTTGAAGTTGTCTTGTGTTGTTAAAAGCAGTTGTTTGCACTTTTCAGAGAGAAGTTTTTTAAAACGTTGACAAGAGCAACAGTACAGGTCCTTCTCAAAAAATTAGCATATTGTGATAAAGGTCATTATTTTCCATAATGTAATGATAAAAATGAAACTTTCATATATTTCAGATTCATTGCACACCAACTGAAATATTTCAGGTCTTTAATTGTTTTAATACTGATGATTATGGCATACAGCTCATGAAAACCCAAAATGCCTGTCCCAAAAAATTAGCATATCATGAAAAGTTTCTCTAAACAAGCTATTAACCTAACCATCTGAATCAACGACGTAACTCTAAACACCTGCAAAAGATTCCTGAGGCTTTTAAAACTCCCAGCCTTGTTCATTACTCAAAACCGCAATCATGGGTAAGACTGCCGACCTGACTGCTGTCCAGAAGGCCATCATTGACACCCTCAAGCAAGAGGGTAAGACACAGAAAGAAATTGCTGAACGAATAGGCTGTTCCCAGAGTGCTGTATCAAGGCACCTCAGTGGGAAGTCTGTGGGAAGGGAAAAGTGTGGCAGAAAACGCTGCACAACGAGAAGAGGTGACCGGACCCTGAGGAGGATTGTGGAGAAGGGCCGATTCCAGACCTTGGGGGACCTGCGGAAGCAGTGGACTGAGTCTGGAGTAGAAACATCCAGAGCCACCGTGCACAGGCGTGTGCAGGAAATGGGCTACAGGTGCCACATTCCCCAGGTCAAGCCACTCTTGAACAAGAAACAGCATCAGAAGCATCTCGCCTGGGACTGCTGCTGAGTGGTCCAAAGTTATGTTCTCTGATTACAGTAAATATTGCATTTCCTTTGGAAATCAAGGTCCCAGAGTCTGGAGGAAGAGAGGAGACACAGAATCCACATTGCTTGAGGTCCAGTGTCAAGTTTCCACAGTCACTGGGATGTCATGTCATCTGCTGGTGTTGGTCCACTGTGTTTTATCAAGCGCAGGGTCAATGCAGCTAGCTATCAGGAGATTTTGGAGCACTTCATGCTTCCATCTGCTGAAAAGCTTTATGGAGATGAAGATTTCATTTTTCAGCACGACCTGGCACCTGCTCACAGTGCCAAAACCACTGGTAAATGGTTTACTGACCATGGTATTACTGTGCTCAATTGGCCTGCCAACTCTCCTGACCTGAACCCCATAGAGAACCTGTGGGATATTGTGAAGAGAAAGTTGAGAGACGCAAGACCCAACACTCTGGATGAGCTTAAGGCCGCTATCGAAGCATCCTGGGCCTCCATAACACCTCAGCAGTGCCACAGGCTGATTGCCTCCATGCCACGCCGCATTGAAGCAGTCATTCATGCAAAAGGATTCCCGACCAAGTATTGAGTGCATAACTGAACATGATTATTTGAAGGTTGGTGTTTTTTGTATTAAAAACACTTGTCTTTCATTGGTGGGATGAAATATGCTAATTTTTTGGGACAGGCATTTTGGGTTTTCATGAGCTGTATGCCATAATCATCAGGATTAAAACAATTAAAGACCTGAAATATTTCAGTTGGTGTGCAATGAATCTGAAATATATGAAAGTTTCATTTTTATCATTACATTATGGAAAATAATGACCTTTATCACAATATGCTAATTTTTTGAGAAGGACCTGTATGTCCTATCACCACCACAAAAAAGATTCAGGCTCAGCATTTTTTTTTTTACTTTTAAGCCCTGGTATCATTGAACGGGTGAAGGAGGAACATTTGTCTCTGTGGTTGTGGAGGAAAGCATTAATAAGTTTTGTATTTGCTCCGTCAATTAATTTACAATGTATTTGAAATTAAAAGTACAGTGAGGAAAATTAAGTATTTGAACAACCTGCGACTTTACAAGTTCTCCCACTTAGAAATCATGGAGGGTCTGAAATGTTCATCTTAGGTGCATGTCCACTGTGAGAGACAATCTAAAAAAATCCAGAAATCACAATGTATGATTTTTTTATAATTTATTTGTGTGTTACTGCTGAAAATAAGTATTTGAACACCTGCCAATCAGCAACAGTTCTGGCCCTCAAAGACCTGTTAGTCCTCCTCTATAACGTCCACCTCCACTCCACTTATTATTCTAAATTAGAAGCACCTGTTTGAGGTCGGTAGCTGCATAAAGACACCTGTCCACCCCACACACAGTAAGACTCCAACTACTAACATGGCTAAGACCAAAGAGCTGTCCAAAGACACCAGAGACTAAATTGTAGACCTCCACAAGGCTGGAAAGAGCTACGAGGCAACTACCAAGCAGCTTGGTGGAAAAAGATCAACTGTTGGAGCAACTATTAGAAAATGGAAGAAGCTAAACATGACTGTCAATCTCCCTCGGACTGGGGCTCCATGCAAGATTTCACCTGGTGGCGTATCACTGATCCTAAGAAAGGTGAAGAATCAGCCCAGAACTACACGGGAGGAGCTGGTCCATGACCTGAAGAGAGCTGGCACCACTGTTTCCATGGTTACTGTGGGTAATACACTAAGACGTCATAGTTTAAAATCATGAACGGCACGGAAGGTTCCCCTGGTTAAATCAACAAACGTCCAGGCCCGTCTGAAGTTTGACCATGACAATTTGGAAGCATGGGGGTGGAAGCATCATGCTTTGGGTGTTTTTGTGCACATGGGACAGGACGACTGCACTGTATTAAGGAGAGGATGACCGGGGCCATGTGTTGAGAGATTTTGTGGAACAACCTCCTCCCCTCAGTGAGAGCATTGAAGATGAGTCGTGGCTGGGTCTTCAACAAGACAATGACCTGAAGCACACAGCCAGGAGAACCAAGGAGTGGCTCCGTAAGAAGCAGATCAAGGTTCTGGAGTGGACCAGCCAGTCTCCAGACCTGAACCCTATAGAAAATCTTTGGAGGGAGATCAAACTCTGTTTCTCAGCGACAGCTCAGAAACCTGCTGATCTAGAGAAGATCTGTGGAGGAATGGACCAGAATCTCTGCTGCAGTGAACCTGGTGAAGAACTACAGGAAACCTTTGACCTCTGTAACTGCAAACAAAGATAATGTACCAAATATTAACATTGATGTTCACAGGTGTTCAAATACTGATTTGCAGCAGTAACACACAAATAAATTATTTTAAAAATCATACATTGTGATTTCTGGATTTTTTTTTTTTTTTAGATTGTCTCTCAAAGTGGACATGCACCCGAGATGAACATTTCAGACCCTCCATGATTTCTAAGTGGGAGAACTTTCAAAGTCGCAGGGTGTTCAAATACTTATTTTCCTCACTATCTTTTTTTTTTCATTCAACCTTTATTTAGACAAATAAGTCACATTGAGCCTCAAAGACTCATTTACAAGTGAGACCTGTTTAGACGGACAAAAAGTGATGAAAGTGACGCCTTACATGTGACGTGTGTGAACTTATTCTAAACTTGTGCAGAACTTGTTGGCAACACATCAGCATATGTCGAAAATATTGTGTATGCACAAAATAACTAGCCATCATATAGCAGTACGCTTGAAACTTATTCAAAATTTACACCTAACTTACACTAGCGTGTTTGACATCTTTTTCAAACGTCTGTGTAAGTTCTCTAAAACGTTATAATGTGACAGAGCCTTAAAGCTGAAGTTGTTGTGCACTTAAAGCACAGCTTAACCACTTCAGAGTGCATTTCCCATCTGTTTCAGTTTTTGTTGTACAATTTTTACTTTATTTTTGAGAACTTGTATGTCTCTTGTATGTCTATTGAGCATGGACTTTGTTGTATGTCTCTGGTTTCTCTGTCACTCTATTTTGAATTTTATCATTACTTCCATATTTCCACATCATGAAGGACCACACTCACCCAGCACACACACTTTTTGCCCCACTCCCCTCAGGAAGGAGGTTGAGGAGCATTAAGTGCAGAACCACTAGACTGAGGAACAGCTTCTACCCTGGAGCTGTTAGACTCATGAATCTCTAACCAGAATTATCTCTGAAAAAAGTCACTGTAATGCTACTTGATTGTTGATGTGCTGCTGATCGTAAGCTGCTGATTTATTTCATGCTGCTGTGTTCCTTCATGCTCATCTGCTCAAAGACTCATGTTCGTGCTGCTGCTGTTCAGCATATTGTTTTTGTACTACTAGTGCTTAGTGTATATTTAGTTTAGCGTATTTCTTAGTTCATATTTTAGATCTTATTACTGTTTGTCTTTACAATTTATACTTTTGTTGGATGTAACCGGGACCCTGTGTACACCATTTCGTTCCACCTCATGTACCACATGTGCTGCGTATGACAATAAAGAAACTTTGACTCTTGACCTTGATATTTGCTGCGTTCTCCTTTTCTTCTCTCAGGCCAGCAGGAGGTCGTTCAACCTGGACAGATACAGCCTGTGATTTATTCGCCTACTACCTGACCGGAGCTTCAGCTCTCATGACGATCAAGGTCTTCTCTCTTTTTTCTTCTTGTGCTGGCCCTTTTTCTAGCCTCATCAAAACATTATATGTAGATGCATCAAAACGTATGTTTGTCTATACTGAAACATTTTCAGAGAGTCTGTTTTTGTTCTTTTATGTTTTTAGGAGTTAACAGGTGAGCATCCAGTTCCCGTCACTCTGTTACGCTCCAACAAAAAGGGGGAGTTTATCAGCATCGCTGACTTTTTGGTCAGTGAAGGTCTTGCACTCAAGGAAAGAAAACCAAGGTGTGTGTGTGGGTGTGTGGGTGGGTGGAGGTGTGTGCATACGTGTCATTCTCATTCATATATTCATGGAAATGATCTTTCCACACAGTAGACATCTTCCCTGTTATCTCACATTACCACTGTTTTGATAGGCATCCCCAAAATTTAGAACCAGTCAAATACACATTTACCAATATGTTCTCATAGCTAGTTTTTATTTATTTTAAACTTTGTGTTTGTGTTTGTTTCGTTGCAGAGATGTTGTCAACGAACCCAAACACACTGAAGCGCAGCCTCCAGTCTCTGAGACTCAAACCGACAGCACTTCAGAAAACACCAGACCTCCACCCGTCTCTCCTCCTCCTTTCTCCTCTGGGGCTTCCGTCTCTGTTTCCATCCTTCCTAAAGCGAGTCGCCGTTTGAATATGTCAGCTGAAAAGGTGATCAACGTACCGGTGTTTCCATTAGGTCACTGCCTTGGCATGGCGCTCATCTCTTCAACCGGGGGGGACGGGGGAGACACGTCTGTGTTGCCCCCTAGCATTGCACTTCACGTGCTGCTAGTTTAGTGCTACATCAGTGTCGCAGTTGTTGGTGGGGGTGGGGCAACATTTCTATTGACAGGGCGGGGCGCCCTCCTTGGATAACTGTAGGGGAAACGCTGCATATAGTAAGTTTGGTAACAAGTTGACATGTTAACATTTTTACTCTGACATAAATATGCAGAAAACCAGAGGTGGAAACAAGTGTTGAACTATTTAAAGAGTGTCCACGTTTTGAACTGGGCTTGTTTTGTATTTTGAGTTGTCTTTTGTGTATATGTGTGTGTACAGGTGAAGACGTCATTGTACCACCCACCAGAGCTGCCGTGTCTTGGTCACATCCACATAACGGTTTCTGCTGTTGCAGATGATGGTCTCATTTATGTCAGGACACAAAATGGAGGTACACTGAAATATACAAATATTGCATTTTCCAGATTATACGTCGCTCTGGAGTATAAGTCGCATTTATTTAGACATGCATTTCACAAGTGCAAGAACAGACATTTAGTCTGAAATATTAATAACTCTCAGAACATCCCTGGGTTTCTGAACAGGTTTAATTTACATAACGAGCCAATAGGTCCGACAAGCAAGTTACCGGTAAATTCACCAATCTCATTCCACATCACTGAATCCATTGAATTCTTCATCCTCGGTGTCGCTTCTGAACAA